CTTTTTACTAAGTTTTTGGTATAGTAAATAGTTCTTCAGAAGCTATTTTTTAATTTTTAAGTATATTTGTATTGATTTCAGCGAGGAAGGGAGAGGGAGAGAGAAACATCATGATGAGAGAGCATCATGGATCCGCTGCCTCCTGCAGGCCCCACACTGGGGATCGAGCCCGCAACCCAGGCACGTGCCCTGACCTGGAATGGAACTAGGAACCCTACAGTGTGCAGGCCGACGCCCTATCCACTGAGCTAAACCAGCCAGGGCTTACTGCCTTTTTAGAGAGAAAGAAAGAGAAACATCCACGTCAGAGAGACTCATCTATTGGTTGCCTCCCACACGCACCCCAACCCACAGCCTAGGTAGGTGCCAAATCAAACCCACAACCGTCCGTGTACTGGACGACGGTCCGGACAACTGAGCCGCCAGCTGGGGCGCACTTGCCCCCTGATTCCTGGTAGCCAGGGCCCAGGGCCGGGTGTTTTTCCTTTAAAGAGCTCCGGCCGCCGGAGTTCAGCCCCCTGACCGCTCCCTCAGGCCGCGGAGACGCAGCAGCCCTTTGTGGGGTGAGGGCATGGGGATCCCAGGGGGAAGCCCACCCCCTCGCTGTCTCTCACATTTTCCGGTTGCAGAGAGAGGCTGGGTCCTGCTCGGTGAAGGGTCCCAGCGTTACTGACCAGGCCCGCCAGGCCAGCCGGATCCCTGCGCACAGCTGGCTGGGGTTGCACAGCCCCAGTCCCAGGCCTAAGGAGGCCGGGAAGCTTTCACATCGGGGCTTGGGGGGACCCTGAGCTATCATATAGGAAGGACAGCTCCCTACTGGGGAGGCCCAGCCATCCGCCGCCCGGGCCGCCTTCCAGTGTCCCCTGGGGGGGCCGGGCTGTGAGGGACGCCATCCCAGAGCCATCAGTGGCCCCGGGATGCCCCCAGATGAAGACTGATGCCCGAGTTTGGGCAGGGAGGGCACGTGAGTCCTTACTATGGAAAGATGGTCACGTCCTCTCAGGGACTCGTGGGATACCTTAGGAAACGTGCTGGACTCCCCACGGGTGGCATGGAGACTGGCCGGTTCTCTGGTTGTCTACCCGGCCGGCCAGGGGCCGGGAGGGCGTCCAAGGAAGGGAAACTTATTGAAATGATGTCACGGGCCCAGCGGCATGGCTCAGTGTTAGAGCCCTGACCTACGGACCAGGAGGTCACGGTCTGATTCCTGGTCAAGGCACATGCCCAGGTTGCGGGCTTGGTCCCCAGTGGGGGGCATGTGGGAGGCGGCTGATCAGTGACTCTCTCCTCACTGATGTTTCTCTCTCTCTCCTTCTCCCTTCCTCCCTTGAGATCAATACAAAAATATTTTTTTTAAAAAAAGAGACGCAGTCACTGGTTGATACACACTCTGATGGCGACAGGCAATGGGTCTGGGGCCTGGGGTGCGGGTTGTGTTGTGGGAAACTGACATTCTGCACTGGGGATGTCCCCTCAACTTTTTATGAAAATATTCAAACATGCAGAAAAGTGTGCGTGAACCCCCACGCACCCACCCTGAGGTTCCACGGTGACCACACGCCTGTTGCTTTCTTACCTGTCTCAGGTGATCCACCCTCCGTCCACGAATCTATTTTTTTTTTAACGCATCTGAGAGCAAGTTGCACACTTCAGTACTCTTCACCCCAGGACACCCTAGGATGCGTATCATTAACAGAGTTGGGTGTTTGTTTGTTTTTAGGGAAAATTCACACACCGCGTAAGGGACACATCGTCAGGCTACCGCCGATGAGCTCCGGAAAATGCTCCCACCTGCGTGACGGACACCCCTGGAGGAGCTGTGGCCACCCCCCCTTCACCTGGGATGGCTGCCATCGGGAAGGGCGTGGACTTGTTCAAGGACACAGACCTGGCCACCGCAGACCAGCAGATGGAGAGCTTTTTCCAGCTTTTATACAAAAATAGCCACACAGGTGCAGGTCTGCTGAGTCGGCGCAGGCCGCTCCCAGCCACAGCTGCGCCCCCTCGGTGAATGGGGTGCCAGACCACACTCCTGGGGCTCCCTCCACCGAGGCCTCCTCTCATCGTGAGGCTTCTGGGCACAGACCCCACCGTCATTCCTGTGGTATCTCTTGCCCGTCCTCCTCCATAGACCCCACACCTCGCTCAGGCTCTTGAACAGAGTGCTTCTCAATCAGCGGGGACTGACGGGTGGACGGATGGACAGATGGACGGACAGATGGACGGATGGATGGACAGATGGACGGATGGATGGGCAGGTGGACGGATGGATAGGCGGGTAGATGGACGGACGGACGGATAGATGGATGGATGGATGGGCAGGTGGATGGACGGATGGACAGATGGATAGACGGACAGATGGACGGATGGACCGAGCACGGAGTAAACAGTCGACCCCCAGGTGCTGGCTGTCATCAGTGCCGACGAGTCCTGGTGTCGCCTGCTCCCCCAGCTCTGCCCTGCTCCCTGGGGCTGCCCCCTGGGATGGGGGTGGTAGAGTTACCTCACACCAGTGCTGGTCTGGTTCACCCTCCTTCCTCCCGACAGACACCTGCTACCTAGGCGCTGCACCTGTGGACGGTGGTCACGCCAGCTTTTTCTCCAGCGGGTTTCTTGGTCCCTGTATGATGTGGATTCGCAGTCATGTTTGGGAGAAGAGTTGTTACGTCTCTCCTCCTGCCAGGCCTCTGTGCTGGTCCAGCCTGGACCACACACCCCAGACATGCCCAGGAGAAAGGTGAGCTGTGGGTGGGAGGCAGGCTAATGGTGGACTCAGCCCAGCTGGCGGGACTCAGTGGTTGAACGTCGACCTATGAACCAGGAGGTCAGGGTTCAATTCCCGGTCGGGGCACATGCCCAGTTGCAGGCTCCATCCCCAGTAGGGGACCTGCAGGAGGCAGCTGATCAATGATTGACGTTTCTGTCTCTCTCTCCTTCTCCCTCCCTCTCTCAATTTATATATGTAAAAGCCTAAGT